CCTCCTCATCTCAATCCCCTCCTTTCCTCCTCATCTCAATCCCCTCCTTTCCTCCTCATCTCAATCCCCTCCTTTCCTCTTCATCTCAATCCCCTCCTTTCCTCCTCATCTCAATCCCCTCCTTTCCTCCTCATCTCAATCCCCTCCTTTCCTCCTCATCTCAATCCCCTCCTTTCCTCCTCATCTCAATCCCCTCCTTTCCTCCTCATCTCAATCCCCTCCTTTCCTCCTCATCTCAATCCCTCCTTCCTCCTCATCTCAATCCCCTCCTTTCCTCCTCATCTCAATCCCCTCCTTTCCTCTTCATCTCAATCCCCTCCTTTCCTCCTCATCTCAATCCCCTCCTTTCCTCCTCATCTCAATCCCCTCCTTTCCTCCTCATCTCAATCCCCTCCTTTCCTCCCATCTCAATCCCCTCCTTTCCTCCTCATCTGAATCCCCTCCTTCCCCGCTCCTCCCTCCCCTCCCCATGCATCAGGTGGTGGTCTGATTGGCTCAAGCGCTGTGGCAGTGGCCTGCATCTCTGCCTCCTCGCCTGCCTCCTCCCCTGCCTCCCCTCCCCTCCCCTCCCCATGCATCAGGTGGTGGTCTGATTGGCTGAAGCGCTGTGGCAGCGACCTTCACCTCAGGCTGCTGGTAGGTGTTTTGAGCGGTTCAGGGGGGTGTTGATGGGTGCTGGGGGGTGCTGATGGGTGCTGGGGGCTGCTCGGGAAACGTTCACCACAGGCTGCTGATGGGTGGGGGGTGGGAGATGCTGGAGAGTGCTCGGGGGTACTCGGGTTGAGAATAATGGGTGGTGAATGGTGGGTGGTGTGACAGATGGTGTGAGGCTGCATCACCATCCCACCCAGCACCCTCACACCCCCCCACCCCACCTGCTCTGCGCTGCCTGCACGCCCACCCATCTCTTTCTCCTGCATTCCCCTCACTCACAAATAAACCTTCCCCTCTCTTTCTCCTGCATTCCCCTCACTCACAAATAAACCTTCCCCTCTGTTTCTCCTGCATTCCCCTCACTCACAAATAAACCTTCCCCTCTGTTTCTCCTGCATTCCCCTCACTCACAAATAAACCTTCCCCTCTGTTTCTCCTGCATTCCCCTCACTCACAAATAAGCCTTCCCCTCTGTTTCTCCTGCATTCCCCTCACTCACAAATAAGCCTTCCACTCTGTTTCTCCTGCATTCCCCTCACTCACAAATAGGCCTTCCCCTCTGTTTCTCCTGCATTCCCCTCACTCACAAATAAGCTTTCCCCTCTGTTTCTCCTGCATTCCCCTCACTCACAAATAAGCCTTCCCCTCTGTTTCTCCTGCATTCCCCTCACTCACAAATAAGCCTTCCCCTCTGTTTCTCCTGCATTCCCCTCACTCACAAATAAACCTTCCCCTCTGTTTCTCCTGCATTCCCCTCACTCACAAATAAGCCTTCCCCTCTGTTTCTCCTGCATCACGCCAACAGATAAAGTTCCCCATCTCGGGAAGCAGCAGCAGCACCAATGGCAAGGCTTCTACACCTCAGGTGAGTGAGTGAGTGGGGGAGTGAGTGAGTGAGTGAGTTAAAGGTTGAAGTGACATTATTCCTTACATGCATTACCGCCGCTGCCTCCTCTCTCCTCAGCAGCAGCAGCACCAGTGGCAAGGCTTCCACACCTCAGGTGAGTGAGGAGACGATTTTTGAGTCAACTACAAAGCCATCTCGGGAGGCAGCAGCACCACCAAGGGCAAGGCTTCTACACCTCAAGTGAGAGACTGAACCTCCAGAGCCGCTGCTGCTTCCACACCATCTCGGGAAGCAGCAGCAACACCAATGGCAAGATTCCACGCCTCAAGTGAGAGACTGAGTGATTCGATTGAGTGAGTGAGAGGTGAATGAGGGAGTTGATTGATGAAAGCATGGTGACATCCCGTCTTGCACTTCATATCCTCGTGTTGATGAAAGCATGGTGACATCCCGTCTTGCACTTCATATCCTCGTGTTGATGAAAGCATGGTGACATCCCGTCTTGCACTTCATATCCTCGTGTTGATGAAAGCATGGTGACATCCCGTCTTGCACTTCATATCCTCGTGTTGATGAAAGCATGGTGACATCCCGTCTTGCACTTCATATCCTCGTGTTGATGAAAGCATGGTGACATCCCGTCTTGCACTTCATATCCTCGTGTTGATGAAAGCATGGTGACATCCCGTCTTGCACTTCTTACATGCCTCCTCCCAGGCCACTGCCTCCTCTCATTCCTCTTGCCGTTTCAACGACTCCCTCCAGTCTCTCCGTCTTCCCCAGTTGAAGCTAGGAGGCCCGCCACTCCTCCTCTCCCTTGTCGGCTTCCCAGAAACAAAGTGATCTTTTGGGTCGACTCGACTCAAAGCACTCCCTTCCCCAAACGTCTCTCTCATTTTCCGTCTTCCACAGTTGAAGCTAGGAGGCCCGCCACTCCTCCTCTCCCTCCTCGGCTTCCCAGAAACCAAGCTTCCAGCCTGGACCGACACCATGTGAGAAGTGTGGCTCTATTGTGGGTGTCTGTCAAGGGGGCCTTGTTTTGGTTTCCACACATTCATTGGGTTGTCGTTTTGTGTGGACGTGGAAATGGGCTTCATGTGTTGCGCATGTGTGGCATGCCCTGTACTGGTGCTCACTGAGTTGCTCGGCTCACACATGCTCGCTTTTGACTTTTTCCAGCTCTGTTCAAATATGACCGCACATTATCGCACTACACCGCATTGCACACCTTCCGGCAGGTGCACAGTTGCGTATCTGCCTGAGCTTGCTGCATTCATCCATCAGCGAGTGAGTCTCACCGCACTCCATCTCACTTCACCGCACCGCACTCTACCTCCCATCTCTCTTTTCTCACTTTCCAGCAAAGGCTGGAAAAAAGGGCTGCTTTTTTTCTCAGTAGAAAAGAATCCATCGACTCTAACCTGCCCATCGGAAAGACAACAATTCTCAACAACAGCAAAGAACTGTGCGGTGAGCGTGGATCGAACACGCGACCTTCAGATCTTCAGTCTGACGCTCTCCCAACTGAGCTATCCCCGCATGTGTGTAGTTATTCCTTCTAATTTTGTGAAGCTTCTTTTTACTGTCTCTTTTTGCCATATCAGCTTGATAGTGCTGTCTCTTCCATGCAAAGCCGCGCGGACTTCATTTCTGCTCTACCCGTGGTATTCGGGCAGCCATTAGAAACTGACACAGTAAGTTCCTCTCTTGCTGTAAATACGAACAGTCCTTGCATGAAACAAGCACAGAACCTTCACCACTGCCCTACTCCCACATTCACCTTCCCCTCGATCACTCTCCTCAGTCATTCCCCTTGTTCACCTTCTCTCCATCCACCCATTTCGTATAAATCCCCTCATCTCATCTGTTCATCCCGGCAGCAACTATTCTCTCACACCACGCTCTTTGTGACGGCCAACAGCTGCATGTGCCTGGTGCGTGCTGCCCCACACCACCTGCATCCCTTACCCCTGCATCTGCCTGTCACCTGCTAGTCCCGATGCACGTATTGCCCCACCCACCCATTCTCCTGAACGACACTCTTTGTGTCAGCCAACAACTGCATGTGCCTGGTGCATGCTGCACCCACTTCTTGCATGTGCCTGCCGCGTGCCCCTCCCACCACCTGCATGTGCCTGCCACGTGCCCCTCACACTCCCTGCATGTGATTGCCACGTGCTACTCTCAATGCATTGCTTGTCCCAACCATGCTCTCTCACGCTCCCTGCTGGGCTAAAGAAGCTCCGGGTTGCCAGCAGCACCGTCTTGTGTGCCATGGTATCCTCTTACAGTCTTGCCCTTCCACCCCAATCACCTCCCCCTCCACCCCAATCACCTCCCCCTCCACCCCAATCACCTCCCCCTCCACCCCAATCACCTCCCCCTCCACCCCAATCACCTCCCCCTCCACCCCAATCACCTCCCCCTCCACCCCAATCACCTCCCCCTCCACCCCAATCACCTCCCCCTCCTCACACACTTTTTCCGTCCCTCTATCTCTCCCCAATCCCTCTAGCCTCATTTCTCACGCCTCGTCCTTCTCACCCCTCCTCTCTCTCACCTCAGGTGCGCATTTCTCTGCCTCCATCCTTCCCACAGCAGCAGCCCTCCATCACCCTGCAATCCATTCATGTAAGCACAATGTTATGTTTGTGTCATAATATTCCATCGCAATGCCCCATCTCAATGCTCCCCCATCCCAATGCCCCATCTCAATGCCCCCCATCTCAATGCCCCCCATCTCAATGCCCCCCATCCCAATGCCCCCCATCCCAATGCCCCCCATCCCAATGCCCCCCATCCCAATGCCCCCCATCCCAATGCCCTATCCTTGTTCCCCCATCCCATTGGCTTATCCTCGTTCCCCAATCCCAACGCCGCTGTCTCATACTCCCCCAAACCACACCTTACAGCACTTCACCGCACACAACCGCCCCGTGTCGTCGGAGCCAATCAGCAGCTTTCCTTGGAGCCCCCGCTGGTCTCCTGCTCAGATGGCGCAGCGCCTCAGGTGAGTGGAGGGAAAGGGTGTGTTTGATGGGTGCGTGCTGCTGGGTGCGTGCTGGGTGCGTGCTGCTGGGTGCTTTGATGGGCATTTGGTGGGTGCTTGGTGTCGATTGCATTTCTCGGCGCTCGCTGTGCCTCTTTGGGATAGAATTATGCACCCAAAGTGCATCCTCGCTCTCTCCCTCTCTGCGTGCCCCTTCTGACCTGAAGCTCATTCCTGGAAGATGAAACTGTCGCTTTCAAGCGCTTCTGTATTGACGTCTCCAGAGCTGCTGCTTCAGCGAGAACTTGAGATGATTATTTGGAAACCATAAATAAAGAACATTACTGTATATGGTTTTTTTAGAGCATGACAGCGTTGACTTAAAACGATTGTGAGTGCACAATGGGCTATGAACGTGGGTTGATATCAGTTTGCTGTTTGAAAAGGTACAAAGATCTACGCAAAAGCCAACCACGCCTTTCCAAAACAGCCCAACGCAACCATATCAGATTAATACTTTGGCGAGTACAGCTGCGGCGCCTCCTGTGTGGAAACAGGCGCGGTGACATTGCCGTACTCATGGATGCGGTTGAAGCGCCAGTAGTTGTCCGGCAGGTCTCCCCCGGGGAACCACTCCCCCAGCTCCGCGAATTTCTGTGCCACTTCCGACACGGCAAAGTAGTTGATGGGGAACTGGTCGCTTGTAAGCACACCCTCCGTCTGCCTGGGAATGCGCTTGTACTGCATTTAAGAGGGAAGCATGTAAGGGGTATGGATAAGGGAGAAACTGATGAGGGGAGAGAGGCTGGAAATAGTTGATGGTCGCTCGCCAGCACCCCCCTTCCGTCTGCCTCGGGATGCGCTTGTACTGCCAATAGAGGGAGTGCAGATAAATGGAAAGGCAGAGAACGGGGAAGAGGCATGAAGTCGTTGACCGGGAACTAGTCGCTCGTTACCACTTCCCCCGTCTGCTTGGGAATGCACTTGTTTGTGCTGCAGAAGGAGACCTTTGAGTCGACTCAAAAGTCACCTTGAGTCAACTCAAAACCCCCCCGTCTGCCCGGGAATGCGCTTGTGCTGCAGTAGTTCGTTAACATGCCCTCCCTCTGCCTAGGGATGCGCTTGTGTTGATGTGAGAGAGAAGGGGGAGAAAAATTGTGGGGTTAGAAGTGGCTGTGGGGAAATATAAGCTGGATCGCAGCGAGTCTGCTAGTGCTGGATTGATTAGCTGGATGGGAAAATTCCTCCATCTGCATTAGGGGTCTGCTAGTGTTGCAGTGAGAGCAAGGGGAGGTGAGGAAGAGGGGTGATGGGGTAATGCAGAGCAGAGACAAGGCAAGAGCGGCGGCAGCATGAATGCAAAGGTCCTCGATCACAGCTTCTTCAGGCAGGTTTACTGACTCTACACACACCCTCTCTTCCCATCACCAATATCACCAATCTATAGAACTTGACAGGGACTCACCAAGAGGAACGCAATGATCCGGGCAATGACAGCATCTTCAGGCAGGTTCACGGCCTCCGAGTGCACCCTCCCCAGCACGATGCGGTGGCGCGTCTCCTTGTCATCCTTGGTGGCGTAGACGTCATACATCCACCCACCGTTGATCAAACTCTATCCAAACGCTTCAAGTTCCAAGCAACGAGAACAAAGCCCCCACCAGCAGCACCAGGGACTCACCAGGAGGAACGCAATGATCCTGGCAATGACCGCATCCTCAGGCAGGTTGACGGCCTCGGAGTACACCCTCCCCAGCACGATGCGGTGGCGCGTCTCCTTGTCATCCTTGGTGACGTAGAGGTCGTACATCCACCCGCCGTTGGTCTTGATCTTGGCGTCCATGGTCAGGTCGAACTCGATCACCTCCCCCGAGGGCGCTGTCTCGCTGATGTGCACCACGCGGGCTGCTGACGCCTCCTGCTCCGCTGCTGCCGCCGCCAGCTCCTCTGCTGACTGCGACTTGGACTGGCAGGGGCGGGAAAGAAGGGGGGGAGGGATTGGTGGAACGGGAAGGGGTAGGGGGAATGGGGTGCACGAAGAGGTAAAACATTGACAAGGACTGGAAATTGTGTGGATGGGAGACTGGCAGGGGATGGATTGCAAGCGAGATTGGGGCCGTTGCATGCAGCAGGTTACGTCCCAGGCCAATGGCAGCTGCGATGCTGCAGTTAACCCTCGGTCACCCAAGAGTCAGGACACGAGTGTGGGCGAGTGAGAGTTCTGAGTGATGGCGTGGGTGGAAAGTTGAGGGTGTGAGTGAGAGTGTGAATGAGTGTAAATGTGCGTGGGTGCGGGCGAGTGTGAGTGATTGTGAGAGTGAATGAGTGCGAGCGAGGAGGCATACCGGCAGCACGTCGCACTTGCCCTCCTCAATGAGCTTCGGGTCATACTCCATCTGCACAGCAACGGACAGAACGGACAAGGGCACGCAATGCAACCAATGTCAATGAAACAGTAAACCAGCAATTCATGAGCAGGGAACCAACAGTAGAGCGAGCATTGAAGAGTAGTCAACGAAGGGGGGGCGCGCAGCCAGTAAACCTCCCTCCCGGTTTGTTGTTATTTCTCCCTGCCGGTCTGTGGTGATGATTCCATTAGCCTGGCACGCGAAGAATTGGTCGACTTCTTTTCTTACCCATCTTCTTTGCAGGATATGCCACCCCTTTTCGCACCAGAGAGAGGATCCATACTTCAGCCGAACCCTCGTGCTTCTGAAACGTCTAACGCCCTTCCGCTGCAATCACAATTGCTCCTTACCCCTCGCGAAATCAAGCGCGAATCCAGCATCCAGCGCACTCAGTCGCACACGCACCGCAGCACCCTAAGACCACTCGCTCCATGCCCTCGTTGCTGGCACATAACTAATTTCTACTAGTACCCTCGTTAAAGTCGCATTCGATCCCACTCATCTCCTCGAGGCCGCGGTCCACCAGCATCTGCAGCAGCGCCTTCGCCTTGGACTGCGCTGCCGCAACCTTTCCTCACGTACCACCCCATCATTATAATCACACCCACATCTCAGACAAACATCCTCATTATAGTCACATTCAACTGACCTCCTCCTTGAGGCCGCGATCCACCATCATCTGCAGCTGCACAGCCGCCATCCCACGCCTAACACCCTTTCATAATAATCACACCCACAGCTCAGCACCCTCATTACAATCACAATAAACTCACCTCCTCCTTGAGGCCGCGGTCCACCATCATCTGCAGCAGCGTCTTCGCCTTGGACTGCGCCGCCGCCACCTTGCCTCTCTCCGAGATCGACCCAGCGTCCGCAGGCCGCTCCCAGTACCCCCTCTGCACGGGATCCGTGTTGCCGACGGGCGGAATTCCCATCTCCGAGAACCACTGTAGCATGTGGAAAAGGTGAGAAGATAATAGGAAATACGGCAGAGTACAATATAGGGAATAGTTATTGCGTGCTTGCGCTCTGTCCTCTTCAGAATTGAACGGCGACTGCCGGCCGCTCCCAGTACCCCCTCTGCACGGGATCCGTGTTGCCGGTCGGCGGAATTCCCATCTCCGATAACCACTTCAGCACGCGGAATCCCCAACGCCTATGTTTCTAACATGCAAACGGAAATCTGATTGCGGGAGATTCTTTGGGATTAATATAAAGCTGAGATTTTGGGTGACTCGTGGAGAAAATATAGCTGCACAAGCTAGAGAATTTCACATTTCTCACAGCAGGACGGACGGCAGACCTGGCCGCCGTATAAAACTACACAGTCCCACGACCCGTTATGAGAATCCGCGCTAATCGTACCTGCGCGCGAATGTCAATCATCTGCTGCTGGTCCATGGTCGACAGGTTGTGCAGCTTGTAGTAGTAGCAGAACTCGGAACGACACAACCCACTATAAGCATCCTCATCATCCGTACCTGCGCGCAAATGTCAATCATCTGCTGCTGGTCCATGGTCGACAGGTTGTACAGCTTGTAGTAGTAGCAGAACTCGGAACGACACAACCCACTATAAGCATCCTCATCATCCGTACCTGCGCGCGGATGTCAATCATCTGCTGCTGGTCCATGGTCGACAGGTTGTACAGCTTGTAGTAGTAGCAGAACTCGGAACGACACAACCCACTATAAGCATCCTCATCATCCGTACCTGCGCGCGGATGTCAATCATCTGCTGCTGGTCCATGGTCGACAGGTTGTACAGCTTGTAGTAGTAGCAGAACTCGGAACGACACAACCCACTATAAGCATCCTCATCATCCGTACCTGCGCGCGGATGTCAATCATCTGCTGCTGGTCCATGGTCGACAGGTTGTACAGCTTGTAGTAGTAGCAGAACTCGGGGCGCCGTCCCATGAGCGTTCGCAGCGAGTTGCGCACGTCCTTGGAGAACCCGATATACTGCACCTTCTTGTTCTTATCGAGTACAGCGAACACGGACGCCGTGGTTCCCGGCTCGACGGGAGGGACTATACGACCCTGCTGGTTGATGTAACTCAGTAGCGGGAGTTCGTTCAGCGACGGGAGTTTCGCGGAACCGCCGGCCGCGACGACCACGGCGCGAGTTGCGGAGCGGGAATTGCGGCTGGATTGGCTCTTAGCGAGTGTGATTCTAACGCCTTGGAAGGCGGAAGATGCGGATTTTGAGACAAAATCTGATCCGAGATGGACGCGAGGGGACGCCACGTGGCAGGTCGCGGTGGGCCTGGACGAGGCATTGCGTGCTGACGAGGCAATTTGAGAGACTGAGCTGGCAGCAACTGCTGCTCGTTGAGCGACGGACGCCATGGTTACAGCGGCGAAGCTACAGCGAAAACAGTCAAGCAAACGTCCTGATAAGCAGGCAAAAAGCCACAAGGAATGTGGCTGCTTCGCGTTGCTGTTGCACGCAAAACGTTCCCGTTTGTAGAGTATGAAGCAAGTGAAATGGAAAGCAATGACACTGGGTGCCAGAAATAAGGTTCCTTGGGAACGTGGACGAAGCTGTTCACTAGCTCTCCCCTAGCCTTGTCCTGCCATGTCTCCCTTCGCTTCTTCCCTGCTCGTGCTGTTATCCTCTCAGCTCGGCTCGCGGCGAATACGACGCCCTGGGCTGGGGAGCTGCACCTTGGGATTGGTAACGCAATCACGGTTTGCTGATGTGGACGCCCCGAGAAAATGGTCAGAGGCTGATGTGGCAGGAAATGAAATTTCGAGATAGCATACACCCGAGAATCAACACTTAGTTGAAACACGAGTTAACCTTCTCTAAATTATTTTTTTTAGGAAAATCTATACCGTACTCACAATATGGAGAAACATGTATGGGTTTAGTTAGGAAACATGTAGCTAACTTCAGAACCGTGCACTGTGGACTCCTAAATACGCCTACAAATGCAAGGGCGGCTTATCTAGTTCATAACAAGCTATTACCAACCTAAAACCTTTTAGCCAGTGGGTGGGCAGTGGACATAGAGCAAACCAGAGGTTAGTGTGTGTCAGCATGGTACCATGTCATGATGTGACAACCCAGCATGGTACCATGTCATGATGTGACAACCCGGCCGGAGCGACATCAGAGGGCGGCTTGCATGAGGGGATCCTGTGCTGTGATGCTGATGTCACCATACGGCTCTGTCTGCTGCACTTGAATGAAGTCCCTCGTCTTCAGCACCTGGTGAATCAGGGTTTCGCACAGGGTTTACGGCGGTACAGAGTTAAGTGAGAGAGTTCAGGCTAAATAAGTCACCATTTGGGATGGAGGGTTCAGGGTAAGTGAGAGAGCAGAGAACGGGCACTGAACAGGTGGATCTTAGAAACGTGCCTATAATGAAATCATATCAGCTTGTGCAAGAGCCCGCTCCCCTACGCCATGCACTCACGAGGGTCTCAAAGAACATCCGAGCAGCCTCTCGTCTTGGCCGTCCCTTCACCACCGCCAGCAGCGACACCGACGGCTGCGATCGCGCCGACTCCACCCCCACCGATTCCTCTGTCCCCACTGCTGCTGCTGCTGCTGCTCCCCCCCTTCCATTGCCCGCCAGTGCCTGCTGCTCCGCCAGAGCTGTCAACGAATGCTGCAGAAACTTGGCAGCACCTCTGGGGTGGATGCGGGGGAAGGGAGGGTATGGGAAGGGAGAGGTTAGCAGGGAGGGAAGAAATGTCAGGGAGGGGCATGGTAGCAAATGTCCCCACTTCCCTGTGAAAGGATCATCTGTCAGATCCGTTCACATCCCAAACCCACCATCCCTTCACCCCAAACTCAGAATTTCCTGAAAGGGCAACACCCGAAAACTCAACGGAGTCAACGGGGAAAAAATAGCTTCGGAAAGGCAGGCAATTGTAGGTTCGGAAAACTTCCGAAACCCTTTTGCCCTGAACCTAGCAGAAGCGAGACGCAAACTGGAGCCAGTTTGTGAAGGCTTTTCTGTAATTCGGGAGCTGGGCTTTAAACCCCCAACCCCCTTCCTAAGCCTCCCAACAACCCCTCACTTCCACCCTTCCCCACCGCTGCCCACCTGGTGCGCCAGCTCCAGCTGGAGAAGTCATCAGTGGGCCCCTTCCTGGCAAAGTCATACACAATCAGTATCCGACCCCCCTCACTTCTCACTGTCCCCTCTCCCCCCCACCCACCCCATCCCTCTCCACCCTTCCCCACCGCTGCCCACCTGGTGCGCCAGCTCCAGCTGGAGAAGTCATCTGTGGGCCCCTCTGCTGCTGCTGCCTTGCGCTTGCCTGATCCCATCGGGTCCCACTCGTCCACCTCTGCAGATGCGGGGGTAGGCGGGCGGGTGTTGAGGGTGTTGGGAGGGTTCCGAGTGTGGGTAGGAGATTCACACACACAACCAATCCCCCAATCACCACAGCTCAATCTGTATCCACCCCTCACCATTGCTCACAACCTTCCACCATCCCTCATCACCGCTCATCACCGCTCACCTTTGTCGCCTCCATCTCTGAGGAAGTAAAAGTTCTCTTCCGACACATGCAGCTGCACACACACAGAATCCGGGAGGAGGGACGAAGGGAAGAAGGGAAGAAGGGAAGGGAATATCACAGTGTCAACCACCATGTTAAACTCGAGGTGACTTTTGAGTCGACTCAAAAGTCACCTCGGAACCACCGAGAAGCGCAACTTGGAAACTAGAAAACGGAACGAGGAAAAACAGATTCAAGCTGAGGGCAGACCGGAACTATAGCCCTCGAAAAACTAACAGGCCAGAACAAAGACAGCAAAAAAACTCACTGCTGCTAAAGTGGCCTCTCTCCCCCTCCCTTCTGCTGCCGCTTCCCTCCCCCTCTCCTCTGCCACTGCCTCTCCTCTGCTGCCCTCGCGTTCCTCCTCCGATGCCCCCTCCTCCGGGGCTTCCATCAGCCCAGCGTCCATGGGAGGGAAATAAGGCTCTGTGGATGGTGTGACGCCAGCAGCAGGGAAAGACTGAGCGTCCGCAGCATGAGTATCAGCAGCACGAGCATCAGCGGGAGCTGCACCATTATCAGCTGCCTCTGCACCTCTTGCCGCCTCTGCCTCTGCGCCTGCTGCTACTCCCTCGCCACTTGCAGCAGGAGAGAGAGGAGCGACAGGGGAGAGAGGAGCAGCAGGAGAGCCGGGGGTGAAGGGCGTGGGGGGCACAGCAGGCATACCCTCCAACCCAGGAGCAGCACTGTCCGGGGTGGTGTGAGGGCGCAGCACCCAACCCGCCCCCTCTTCTCCATCAGGGGCCTGAGCCGGAGTGCCTCTTGCAACACCTGTAGCAGCAGCAGCTGTAGCAGCAACGTCTGTTGCAGTCCCTGGGCCAGAATCTCTCCCGTCCATGTGCTCCCTAACCACTTCCACTTCCTCTACCTCCTCCCTCCCCTCCACCACTTCTTCCCTCGCCACTCCTATTTCCTCCTCCCTCCCCATCCCTGCCTCTTCCCTCCCCACACCTGCTTCCACCCCCTCCCTCTCCACCCCTCCATCCATGGCCATAGCCTCCCCTTCCACGTCTTCCTCCCTCTCCACCTCCTCTTCCCCTCTCCTCCTCTCCACCCCCATCCCCTCCCCCTCCTCCCTGCCCCGCTTCCTCCCCGTCCCCCTTTCTCCAGGCCTACTCGGCAGGCTCGGCGAAGCCTTGGAGAAGAACCGAGCCAAAAACGAACCAAGACCCGCCCCCTCCTCCCCTTCAGCTATACCATCAGCAGCTGCAGCTGTCACTCCCGCCACACCATCTGCTGCAAACGCATAGGCCACCCCATCTGCCGCCCCACCATCTGTTACCCGTGCTTCACCCCCTGCAAGACCCACCGCTACAGCCGGTGATACAGTCTGTGCTACAGCCGGCTCCTGCAGGCCCTCCACGCCCGCCACGGACCAATGGAGCGCTGCCAGCTGGACCGGCGTGTGCGGGGCTTTGCGGCGCTTCCTCACGAGGTCGTCCGGGGAGATGAGCTGCTGGCGAATGGTTCTGTTGAGGGGGGAGGGAGGGGGGGGGGGGGGGGGGGGGAATGGAGGGGGCAGGCGTAACAGAAAGTGGGTGAGGCAGGGGAGATGGGCGGGGGAGATGGGCGGGGGAGATGGGCGGGGGAGAGGCTAGGCCTTGGTTCCTCACGAGGTCGTCCGCGGAGATGAGCTGCTGGCGGATGGTGGTGGTTGGGGGGAGGGGGAGGGCGAAGGGGGAAGGCGGAAGAGAGGGTGGGCGAGTCGAGGACTGTCTGAGTCGACTCGACTCCAAAGGCGGACACGCAGAGAAAGGGAATGGCAGCAACAGCGACTGAGAAACGAGGAAGGAATAAATGGCACAGAGGGCAGCACATAGAGCGAGTCTAAGCCTGTCCTGTGAGTCCAGGCCGGCACTCAGAGAGAGGGAACGACAGTGATTGTGGCAGAAGAAAGGAGGAAAGAAAGGAGGAAAGAAAGGAGGAAAGAAAGGAGGAAAGAAAGGAGGAGGGAATGGCACAGAGGGCGTACTCAGAGGGCAGCACAGAGAGCGAGTCTAAGACTGTCCTGTGAGTCGATTGAAGGGCCGGCACACAGACAAAGGGAGCAACAGTGATGGTGACAGAGAAAGGAAGAGAAAGGAAGAGAGAAGAAGAGGGAAAGGCGTACTCAGAGGGCAGCACAGTGAGCGAGTCTAAGACCGTCCCCACACCATCCCCTCCTGCTGCTGCCCCTCGCTTCCTCTTCGCCTGCCCTCGCCTCGGGGGCCTTGGAGGCAGCCCCGCCCAAGCCTCGTCCGCAGGCTCGGGAGCCTCAGCAGGCTCGGCAGCTGCAGCGTGGTGTTCAGGCCCGGCCTGGTCCTCCTCTTGCACGGGTGCGGGTGCAGGTGTGGGTGTGGGCGTGGGAGCGAGTGCAAAGTCTGGCGTGGGGATGGCTGGGGTTGGTGCAGGGTGGTGGGGAGTGGGGAGGTGGAGCGGTGGGGGGTTAGAGGACAGGCAGGACAAGGGGGAACACAGAGAAGAGTAAGCATCATACGAGTGGGCCCCAATTGGGGGAACACAGAGAAGAGTAAGCATCATACGCCAATTGTTGGTGAGTAATCTCAATATCAAGAATCTTCACCACCAGTACCAACACTGGAACACAAGCACCAACCAGTGAGCATCACAACATCCTCTCACACATTCCCAACAAGGCATCCCCCCCCCCTCCCACCCCCACAGCCCCCCCTAACCTTCCCCCAATGCATCACCTGGAATGCCCACAGAGGGCGTGGCAAGCCCTACAGACCCGCCAGGGGTAACCATCCCGCCCATGCGCCCCGCCTCCCCTGCCTCTTCTTCCCCTCTCCTCGCCTCCCCCTCCCTCGCCTCCGCCACGTCAGCCCGTG